GACCCCTACGGGGGGTGCAACAGGTGTGGGGCAGACACCAATCACTCCTTAATCACCCCATAAGTTGTGGGGTGTCCCCCACCCCATAGGTTAGGAGTCCCCCATTGCCCCATAAGGGATTTCCCCACCACCCCATAAATTGTGGGTCCCCCATTACCCATAAGGGTTCCCCCACCACCCCAGAAGTTGTGGGTCCCCCCGTTGCCCCACAAGGTGGTTCCCCCCCCCCCACAGATTGTGGGTCCCCCCCGCCCCATGAGGGTCCCTCCCCACTTCTGGGGCGCTCACCCACCAATGAGCCGCATGACGTTGGGGTGCCGGAACTCCTTCATACAAACGGCCTCCCTCAGGAAATCCTCCAACTCCCCCCGGGAGCAAATGGCCACTAATTGGGGGGGTTAATTAATAAAGGGGGTGCTAATTAATGGGGGGGGGGTTAATGAACAGGGGTTTCTCACTCACTCTTCATGGTTTTCACGGCCACTTTGAGGATCCCGCTGTCCTGGTGCAGCTCGCCCTCCATCACCGCCCCGAATTCACCTGGGGGGTTGTGGGGTGGTTATGGGGTGGTTATGGGGTGAGTTATGGGGTCAGCATGGTGTCGGTTATGGGGTAGTAATGGGATGGTTCTGCGGTGCTTATGGGGTGATGAGGTCAGTTATGGGGTGCTGGGGTGGTGGGGTTGGTTATGGGGCCACGGGGCGATGGAGTTCTAGGGTTGGTTGTAGGGTGATGGGGTTGTGGGCTGATGGGGTTACGGGGTTGTGGGTCGGTTATGAGGTTGGTTCAGGAGTTATAGGATCAGTGATGGGATCATGGGGTTGGATGTGGGGTGATGGGGTCAGTTGTGGGGTCGATCATGGGGTTATGGAATCAGTTGTGGGGTCGGTTGTGGGGCTGGCTGCGGGGTTATGAGGTTGGCTGTGGGGTTGAGGGGTTGGTTATGGGGCTGGTTGTGGGGCTATGGGGCACACTATGGGACACATTATGGGGCAGCTATGGGGCTCTATAGGGCACTATGGGGCACTGTGGGGTTCCTATGGGTCCCTATAGGGCCGTACCCTCTCCCAAGCTCTTGCCCAGCGCCACGCGGTGCCGCTCCACCATCACATCCCGCAGCTGCGCCCGCAGCTCCGCAGCCACCCCAAGAGAGCGAACTGGGGGGCAATGGGGGCAGTGGGGTCAGTGGGGGCAATGAGGCCATTGGAGCCGTAAGGACGTGGGATATTATGGGATGCGGGGTCACTCACGCGTGCTGTCGGCGCTGCTGCGGCTGTAGGAGCTGCGGATGCGGAAATGAACGGCCGGCTCTCCGTGGGGAGCGAAGGCAGAACTGAGGATATGGGGGGACTGGGGGTCAGCGGGGGATGCGGGGACACTGGGGGTATTGGGGTCAACGGGGGATTTGGGGTCAGCGGGGGATTTGGGGTCAGCGGGGGATTTGGGGATTTCTAGGGTCAATGGGGGCATTGGGGAATACGGGGACGCCGTGGGGTCGCTATGCGGACGCTGTGGGGTTATGGGGGGCTGTGGGGGGGTAACGGGGGGCTGTGGGAGCTGTGGGGGTTATGGGGCCGTTCGCTCACCCATAGCGCGTCTCCTTCCGGCGCCGCCAAACGGCCCCCAGCGCCCCCAGCAGCAGCAGCGCAGTGACGGCGCCCAGAGCCAGCAGCCACCAGGAGAGCACTGCGTGAGAGCGGGCCTGACCAACAGCCCAGGACAAATCCCAACCCCAACCCCAATCCCAAACCCCAATCCCATTCCAACCCCAATCCCAACCCCAACCCCAATCCCAGCCCCACTGCTCACCAGGCTGCGCATCTGACTGGGGGTCTTCAGCTGTGGGGCAGAGGGGACATTGGGGTCATTGGGATCATCGGGGTCAGTGAGGGCATTGGGAACATTGGGGGCATTGGGGCCAAAGGGGGCGAT